CGATGGCGTTATGCACGCCGCCGGCCCTCGAGACGTGCGCGCCAATGTACATGGCGTGCTTCAGCGACGTCACGGCCCGTGCGGGGCGGCGAGCGGCATGTCGTCTGCTGCCGGTTTGGCCTTGGCGGCTTTGCCTCCTTTTGCTGCTGCTGCTGGTTTGGCGGCGGCTGCCGACTTGGGTGCTGCCGTGGTTTTCCTCCTCTTGGCCGGCTTCTCGTCGTCGTCGGAAGACTCGTCCTTCTCGGCGCAGCTGTCGCAGCTGGCGTCTTCGTCCTTTTGGGCCTTGCGCTTGGGCGCCGGTTTCTGGGGCGAGGCCTTTGCCTTTGTCGCCTTGGCCTTGGCGTTTGCAGCCGTCTTTGCGCTCGCAGCCGTTTTCGCGACCCGGGGTGATGAGGGCTCTGGTTCCTGTTTGGGCTCGACGGCGGGTTGTGCCTTGATGCGTGCAGAGGCTCGCGCCATGCCCGGCAAGATGATGCTAGCTTCGGATTTGTGAGGGAGGTTTTGGAGGAATCAATGGCACCGAGGGACGAGGCAGTTCGTAGGAGTAGGAGGTGCTGGGTGTTGGCGGAAGAGCCGTGTTCCAAAGTCAAGGTTTGACCCGAGTCGACGCGTCACGATGCACGCCCTTTGGTCGCCAAGTCAGCTGACCTCGAGGCGCCTTCCTCGACTCCATCACCCAGGGCACAACACCACGTACTGACGATCACCAGCCGTCACGAGAGGGAGTGCGAGATAATGCTGCTGCTCAGGATTAATTGAACTTGATATCCCTATTCCTACAGGTACTCCATGGCCAAACAATCGCGATCCGACCCAGCCTGCCTTGAACCCTGAAGCTTGCTCCTCGCAGCTTGCTCCCATGCACCATCTCCATCCCTGGCGCGCTTGTGCTTTTGGTCTTGGCCAAGCCCGTGGCACTTGTACAGCCTGATCCAAGCCCCGAGACAAAGGAAAGTTCGACGCAAGAAAACCTCCATTCAGACACCCGAAGCTAGCCTATAAACGTCATCTCCGACGTGCGGTCCTTCGCAAACTGGTCCTTGTACGTCTCCCACAGCTTCTGCAGCTCGGCCACGTACAGCGCATGCAAGCGGTCGATATCCGCCTGGTCCGGCTGCGGCGTCATGGCGGCCGCGACGCGGATGGGCTTGCCGACGACAATGTTGAGCGGCCGGCGGTACGGCATGACGCCCACGTCGTAGTTGAGGATGCCGCGTCCGTGCAGCGCCGGCAGCGTAAACTTGAACACGTTCAACAAGAACATTTGGACCCTGTGCACCATGGGGTGCGTCCGCGGGCTGAGCTGGTCGTAGAGGTCGTTCTCGCCAAAGGCCAGCACGGGCACGAGGTCGGCGCCCGTGCGCAGCGCCATCTTGATGAACCCCTTGCGGCCCTTGATGATGAGGCGGAGGTGGCCCGGCTGGGCCTCGAGCGACTCGCGCGCGCCGCCAATGACGATGGTGACGCCGCGGCCCATGCCCTCGTTGTTGGGCCCGCCGCGCGTCAGCGTGTTCCAGATGGACTCCTTCGACACGGAGCGGATGCCCATGGCCAGGATCCAGTCGCGGTAAAAGGGGATGCGGAAGTTCGAGTCGAGCGTCAGCAGCGTGTTGGTGATGCCCGGGAACTTGTCCCGGAAGCCGAGGGCGTTGGTCGCAAAGGCGGCCCACGCGCCGTGCGAGATGATGCCGTGCGGGTGGTACCCGAAAATGTACTTTCTCGTCGGCGGCAGCTCGTACGTCTTGTGCAGCTCGGCCGGGTAGTAGCCCGCGAATAGCCTCCATACGGGCAGGGAGCGCAGAAACTCGGACCGGAAGCGCAGCCGCCCGTCAGACGGCGCCGTCGACAGCGAGAGGTGGATGAGGTACGGCACGAGCAGAGGCCAGTTGAGGGGGATCGCGGCGAGGAAGAAGAAGAAGGAGACGAGGGCCAGGATCGACACGGTGTGCATCAGCACGGCGGCCATCTGCAGCCGCCGCACGACAGGCACGCGCAGCGGCACGAACCGGATGCCGCCAGCCTTCCAGGCGTGCCTCTCGTACCGGCCTTGGCCCTGTGCCGCCAGTATCAGAGGCGGATAGCCCGTGTCTTTGTCGTCCGCCTTGGCGTCCTGGTGGCGATCCGCGCCGTTGACCAGTGTGTGAACCGTCTCGTCGCTGTTGTCGCTGCGAACTGACCCAGAGGCGCGGGCGTAGTTGGTCGCGCCTCCATCCTCCTGCCTGGACCCCCTGCGCCTTGCCGCGTTGAGGGAGGGTGTTCTGTAGTGGCCGCGCGTCGGGCTCTTAGGTGTCTCGTCCAAACCCTGCGATGGTCAGCGGCTTCGGTGTGGGGTGATTTCGCGGGGGGATGCTGCTCATACTGTGCCCGAGTACTCGTGGCTCGATTCTTGTCTTTCAGCGACGGGGCGCACGATGCTCTCGAGCTGCGTTGCCGACTTCTTGTCGGACTTCATTTCGGGCTTCGATTCGGCCTGCGACTCGAGCGCTTCTACATGATGGTTAGCCACGGAGATGTCCTGCTGCGAATATTTGGTCTTGCGGTCCGTATTTGTGTCTTTTGTCGGAGCCGAACGTCGGGCAGACTTCTTTCGAGACATGGCGACTGTAGCCGTCCAGTGCAGCTTGGTGACGGCCTTGATGACGGCAGGAGGGAGGCAGCTCACCTGGTGGTGCGGTGGCGACCTTGGCTTCGTCCCCGAAATTGGCCGTCTCATTGCTGTGTGGCGCCATGTCTTGGGTTCAACGGCTGGTTCGTGGCTGTAGGAGGCGGACAGGTATGCGACGGCGACGAGCAGAGGTCGAAGGGTCGAGGCGCAAAGCAAGTGGCAGGGAGGGATGCGACGAGGCAGCCTCAGACTGGCATGCACCTGAGTCCAGTGCTGTCATAAAGGAGGAAGGAAAAAGGAAAACAGCACAATGACGGCTAGAAGAAGATGGGTGAAGCCGTGATGGGAAAGGGCTGAAAGGGTAAAATAGACGTAGGAAAGCGAACCGCGGTGGTCGGTCGTCTCGGTTGAGACTTGGGGGGGGGGGGAGAGTTTCGTTGTGGAATCGCGCGCTCGCGGACGGTGACGGAGGCGACATGAGCGTCCAGCCGCAGCTCAGACGATGACGTTGGCAGTTAGCACCACCAATGCTAGCATCGGCCAGCACCAGCAGCAGGCCGGGGACACTGGCTCGCTGTTTTGATGCATATCAGCTTTACGTGCATCAGGAGCTGCACCAGGAGCTGCACCAGGAGCTGCACCTCGAATGAACCACCCATGTCACTTGCTAGTGGGATGATGGGGGTTTTGATAGAGCTTCCCGTGCTTTTGACCTCTTTGGAACTAACTATTGCAGTTGATTATTCAAATAATAATCTCAGTCGATTATCAAAAAATGACAGCCAGTCGATCCTGGCTACTATGACACAGCTCATGGCCAGGAGATGTGTCGTGCTTCTGTCAACTTGTCCAGTTAGACCCCGGTAGCATTACTTTCGTACGTACCCCAGAAATCATAGGGACCTCAGTTCTGCTTCATCACCCTGGGCAGGACTCAATGCCAGGGTCATCACGATCCACGAGGACATGAGTGTGGCATTCCCTTATTCGCACTGTAAACACAGCGTAAACACAGCACAACTCCTGACGTTCTGCAAGTGCGGGGCACTCTCACACTGTATGCCCCTCCATCGAGCTTCACAGTCGATTGGAACTTTTTGACAACGGACCCCACCTCGACAGCACACTCTCACTCACGTCCAAAATTCACATGAACACCCCTTGACATCATATACCATCCAGAATCAGCTGCTATGATTCAAGATGGCCAAAGACAAAAAGGGAAAGGGTGATGACAAAAAGGCCAAACTAGTGAGTCGTTTCGCTGCCGCAAAGCTCGCCCGCCTCGCTGACAGGCGAACCTTACCTCTGCTGGAGTAGGCCGCGAAAAAGGCAAAGCAGGCCAACAAGGCCGAGAAGAAGGCCAAGGCCAAGGCCTCCAAGGTCGAGGGCAGCGACGCCGAGGACGTCGACCTCGACGAGGTCCTCGAGGAATACAGGAAGCAGCAGGAGCTCTTCCTCAAGGTCACCGAGACGGTCTGCGATGGGCCCCCCAAGGCCCGCGCCGCCTCGTGCTTCATCGCGTCGCCCTGTGACCGCAACAACCTGCTGCTCTTTGGTGGCGAGTACTTCAACGGCGCCCTGGCCCAGTTCTTCAACGACCTGCACATTTACTACGTCGACCGCGACGAGTGGCGCCTCGTCACCTCGCCCAACGCCCCGCTGCCGAGGTCTGGCCACGCCTGGACGCGCGCCGGCAACCCCAACCACATCTACCTCTTTGGCGGCGAGTTCTCGTCGCCCAAGCAGGGCACCTTTCATCACTACTCGGACTTTTGGCGCCTCGAGCCCAGCACGAGGGAGTGGACCAAGATTGAGTGCAAGGGCAAGACGCCGCCGGCCCGGAGCGGCCACCGCATGACGTACTGGAAGCACTACATCATCCTCTTTGGCGGCTTCCAGGACACGTCGAACCAGACCAAGTACCTCGCCGACCTGTGGATCTTTGACACGCAGAACTTCTCGTGGCACACGCCGACGCTGCCGCCGGCCCAGCTCAAGCCCGACGCCCGCTCCTCCTTCACGCTGCTGCCGCACGAAAAGGGCGCCGTGCTCTACGGCGGCTACTCGCGCGTCAAGGCCACCGTCGCCGCCAACAAGCAGGCCAAGGGCGCCTCGCAGGGCCAGAAGAACGTTCTCCGCCCGCTGATCCACGACGACTGCTTCTTCCTGCGCATGGCCCCCGCCCCCGAGGGGAGCCCGCCGACGGCGCCGCCCGTCATCCGCTGGGAGCGGCGCAAGAAGCCGGCCAACGCCCCTGCGCCCAAGCGCGCCGGCGCCACCATGACCTACCACAAGGGCCGCGGCATCCTCTTCGGCGGCGTGCACGACGTCGAGGAGAGCGAGGACGGCATGGACAGCGAGTTCTTCCGCGAGCTGTTCGCGTGGAACGTCGAGCGCAACCGCTTCTTCCCCATGGCGCTGCGCAAGCCGCGCCAGCAGCAGGGCAAAAAGGTCGCGGGCGCCGACCAGCGCGGCGCCGGCCGCCGTGCCCGCGCCCAGGACAGGGAGGACGAGCTGTTGAAGCAGCTGGCGGCGCTTGAGACGGGCGCCTCGCTCGAGGACGCCGACGACATGGACCTCGACCGCAAGGCCGACGAGCCCGAGGCCGACGAGACGCCGTTGCGGAAGATGCCGGTCAGCATGGAGCTGCCGCACCCGCGGTTCAACGCGCAAATGGCCGTGCAGGATGACGTGCTGTACATTTACGGCGGCACCTTTGAGCAAAAGGACCGAGAGTTTACGTTTGATGACTTGTACGCCGTCGACCTCGGCAAGATGGACGGCTGCAAGGAGATCTTCAACAGGCCCGCAGAAGACTGGTTTGTACGTGGCGCCGCGGAGACGCTGTTTGGTTGTGGTACGGATTCGCTGACGTGTAATAGGACTCGGAGGATGAAGATGACGATGATGACGAAGACGACGAGGAGGACTCGGAGGAAGACGACGAAGACGACGACATGGCTGATGACGAGCCGGCCAAGAACATGCACACGCCCAGCAAGCGCAAGAAGAAGCAGGAAGACGAGGTCTCAGTTGGCGGCTCTGAGACGACGGCGGCCACCTCAGTGCCAGACGACGACGACACGGAGGCCACGGCTTCGGTTGACGACGGCCTTCCTCATCCCAGGGTATGTGTTTTCCCATCCCCGTCCACTCACTCCGTGATCATTCGAATCGTGCTAACCTGAGAAGCCCTTCGAAACGAGACGCGAGTTCTTCGTGCGGACGTCCAACGAGTGGCAGGAGGTCCTCATGACGCAGCTTCGGTGGAAGAACATTCAGCCCGAGTCGTACCCCATCAAGGAGCTCAAGGCCAAGGCGTTCGAGCTCAGCGAGGAAAAGTGGTGGGATTGCCGTGAGGAGATCAACGCGCTGGAGGAGGAGCAGGAGGCGGCGGGCATCACCGAGGTCGTGTCGCTGGCCGAGAGGGGCGATGCTGCTGCGGGCGGCGCCAGGAGGAGGTAGCATGTGCATTGGGTCTTGGGTGTTCTTTCGATAGGCATGGCACTCTGAAGGTGCATAGACTCGTAGGGTTGGTAGGAGCATTTACACGAGACGCGGCTGCATGAGCTCCATGTGCCGTCGGCGATGCATCGTGTGCCAAGAGGTCGTCGCTCTGCCAGGACATGACAAGAATCCTGCCGACCAGGGATGGAGTGATACAAGACCAATATATGGTTTGGGGTTCATTCGTATCGTTGCCCTCTGTCTGTAAAGTGCCCCGTCTCAGCGAGCACATCCCTCGCTGGTTGTCGAGGTCAGCCTGTGGTGGACCTGTGAAAGGTGCACGTCAGCGACAGTCCCCCGCTCCCCCAGTGAATCATCAGCACTGTGGCAAATGGCAGCAGCAGTACAGCTGCAGTTGCCTTTGTAGGCACTGACCCCGACACACTCCTTCCACCCTCCAACTCGTCCACTTCACTTACATCCAGCATCCGTCCGCCTCTATCGCCAACATGCCCATCGGCATCCAGCGGATCAATGCCCAAAAGTCACATCCCAATGAGCGCATCATCTTCATCAAGCCCCTGCCGGGCCCCAACGAGAAGATTGCTCGAGACTTTCTCGAACGCATCGCTGCACAATGTCGTACGTCCGAGCTCGTCCATCTGTGAAACCCCTCCCTTTCTGACGGTATCGTATCGACAGTCCCCATCATGAAGGACAACTCCCTCTCCGTCATGTCTCTCGAGGAGTACGAGCCGAACCGCGAATTTGTGGGCCGCAACTTCAACGCCGGCGAGGTCATTCAGCTCGTTCTCAAGACGCGCGCCGGCCGCTGGCTGCCGTTTGAGTACGTCCAGATGGTCATGATGCACGAGTAAGTCTCTGTCTCCTAATCACACCCATATCCTCATTCATCCGTCTTCCCTTTTACCCATCCCCTTCAACAAGCCACTGACACCGCCTCACAACAAAAAGACTCGCACACTGCAAACAGATGAACCACTCGCGCGCCTTCTGGGCCGTCCGCAACGCCTACGCCGACAGCATGCGCGCCCTCTGGTCGCGCGGCTACACGGGCGACGGCCTCTGGGGCCGCGGCACGCTGCTCGCGTCGGGCGCCTGGGCCGGCGACGCGGCGCCGCTGGGCGAGGGCCTGCCGGAGCACCTCTGCGGCGGCACCTTCCGGTCGCGCGGCCGCCGCAAGCGCAAGGCCAAGCCGCCGCGGCTGTCGTACCGGGAGCAGAAGGAGAGGCGCATCCTGAAAAAGTTTGGCGCCAACGGCGTCGCGCTCGGCGCCGACGAGGCCGTCAAGACTGAGCTCGAGAAGGGCAGGAAGACGGCTGCCAAGCCGAGGGTTGCTGGCAGTGCGAGGGGCAGGGAGCTGCGTGCCGCGGCGGCGCTGGCCCGGTTTGGACAGCAAAAGGTGGAGCAGCAGGAGGAAGATGACGACAACGACGACGAGCGTCTTGCCAAGAGCGAGAATGTCAGCGAGGATGAGAGCGACTACGAAGATGACGTGGCGGACATCAAGCGCGAGGACGCCATCGATCTCAATGGGCAGAGACTCCTCGACAAGGATGGACGCGGCATGATCAAGGTGTGCGAGGATGAGAACCCGGACGATCAAGATGCGCAGCAGGAATTACAAGAGTTGCGGTCGGTCAAAAAATGGACGCAGACGTCTCTTGATCTTCGAGGGCAGGTGGCAGGGCGGGAGCCACCACCTCAGCAACGGAGTCGCGATGAATCGTCTCAACGTTCACAGCCCTCAGAAGAGCCAAAGGTGAAACGACAACCACCGGCCAAGGCACCCACCATGAGGATCAAACGAGAGGAAGCCGAGGATGACGGCCCTGTATCTACAGTGGGAAAAGCAACCAGTCCGAAGATCAAGGCGGAAGAGGATACGAAGGAGAGCTTTCCAGGCTCGACGATCGACAATGGCATACAAGGGGACACGACAACAAGTGTGACGGCATGCGGCGTGTGCTCGTTTGCGAATCCGGAGCTGTCAATCACCTGTACTGTGTGTTCCAATGTGCTCGATCCAGACAGCGTGCCGAATGCGTGGAGATGCCAGAGTTCGTCTTGTAAGAATAGCCGGTATCTGAATCCTGGAGACTTTGGCGCGTGTGGGGTGTGCGGGCAGAGCAGGCGCTAGAGCGCAATGTAGAGTCAGTGGAGTGTCTGATGTTTGGGCTGAATGACGATGAGGTCAGACTACAGTCAGATGGTATCTGACTGTTGATGTCGCAAGATCAGAGCAGCGTGAGACGTGTTCACTCGAGACTTGGCGGTCGAGAACGGTCTTCTTCTCGAGATGCGACGACGAGGAGACACCACTGGGCGGTGCCAACTTTTAATACTGGTTCGGCGGAGTCGACACGCCATTTCCACGACTCGAGTCACAAGACAGAGCATCCATCGGTTGGATCTGGAGCCGCATGAACTCAATGTTTACTTGGAATCGATAAGAGCAACGCTATTGAGACGGCGAGCTTATAATTGCTATTTTTGGGAGATCGATGAACAAAGGTGCTGAGAGGTCGGGCCACGCGGTCGCCGCCATGCCGAAACTCGGGTCAATGTGCAGTGTCTGGGCTTGATAGCGGCGGCGACGACAACGACTCGAAGCATTGACGGCGAGCGTCGAACGGCGGAAGGATGCGTGCGGTCACCTCGAGCCGTCCGATCTCCCCGGCACCGCCGTCGTCGGCTCCCCTTCCCCCCTGGCTCGCGCAAGTTTCAGTGCCAATACATCACAGAACGATGTCTGGGAGAGCCCTGGATGAACGGCCTCGGCCTCGTTTCAGCGCCCCGGCTTGGACGAGCGGGACCGCCTTGATTGGCTGCGATGCCCCTCTCGCCCTGGTCCCGTCGGTGATCTCCAAGAGACGATCGTGTATCATGCACACGAGGGCACGCCAGGGTCTGAAGCTTGTCTCCCCTCCACAGACGTACCAGAGCAGTGCATTCAGATGATGCCAGGAGCACCATTGTCTCCAGCGACTCCAGTTTCTCGTCCCGCTAGGGCGCTAGCTTGGCTTGCTCCCGTCAAATGTAGCCCGCGACTTGGCAAACAGCCAACAGGACAGCGTGGAACAGCACAGCAATGGACAGGACGTTTGAGGGGAAGCCGTTGGCCGGCCCTTGCTTTTGAGCTTTCTTGTTCAAACGATGCTCCACAGCTGATGCTGTGAGGGGAGGAGAAACCTGTCTATCTGCAGCGGTCTCTGACGAATTCAATATTAGCCTTTCGATTCCGTGCATCGCGCAACCCCTCCCCCCTCTCCCTCGCTCTTGTTCTCTTCTCCCTTCCACAGGAATAGCCCGATTCATAGGCAACCTCTCATTCTTCGATGACGGTTCTACTGTCGCTTCCATTCCTTTCCCTTTTTCGTGTCTTTGCTGATCTGTGATCGCCTTCCCTTCCTTCGCCTTGCTCGGGACAAGTGCGTTTTTCTTGGCCGTGAGCCTAGTTTATCAACTTCTGCTTTGGCCGTGCCGAACAAGCTTTCCTTTCATCACAATCCCATTCTCTGCCAGTTTGTCCCTTGGGCCTTGAGACTCGACGTCTGCAATTCCATTGAGTGTTCATTCAACATTTCCAAACGAAACCAAACTAAACAGACACCGGACGTATTTGGGAGAGACCAACACGAGCATCAAGAGCTTGAAGATACAAGCCTGAATCTGTTCCTTCTCTCTCTCTCACACACACACACCATCATGCCTTCATCATTACCATCATCATCGCCGCGAGCCATCACCCTCCTGCTCCTCTGCACCCTCACCGTCGTCCTCGCCCTGCCGAAGAACTATCCTCGCTTCTCAGTCCCCCAGCAATATCTCGAGGTCGGCCAGATGCGCGCCGCCATGGAGATGAACCCCTCCGCCATCCTCGAAGCCCAGTGCATCGACCGCAACGTGTAAGCGCCCCCATCTCGTTCCCCACAATGCCCAAAATGAAGAAGAAACCGACAGGAGAGCCAGCCACGTTGTCTTCCACGACGAGTCTGTTGCCGAGCTCAACATTTGCGAGGGCGGCATCGCCGGCGACGTCAAGTCCTGTCGTGGCAGCCCCGTCGAGACCATGGGCGTCGCCGGCTCGGCCCGCTTCTCGCTCAAGGTCATGGCCGAGGGCGCCACCATCAACGTGGCCAAGAAGCGGTGGGAGGCCTGCGTGCGCGCTGCGCGAGCCGTGTGTCCCACCGGCAGCTTCCGCGCCGTGTGCGCTGGGGGCACGACCAAGGGTGACTTGGAGTTCTTCCTCACCAATCCATGGTGATTTTTTCTTTTCGACCAAGCCTCTGCTGGACGGGGGGAGAGGGGGGAGATGGGGGTTGCTCGTGTCCCGAATTCCGAAAGGGACGTTGCTTGTCCGATTCTTTGGCGGTGTAGGAACAAAAAGAGTAGGGATGTCATGCCATGCCACAGACGCCGGATGCGTAGCGCATGGTCGTTTTAGACCTGTACATAGATTGGCGGGGTGACCTGCCGCCGAACATATGACCTGAGAGTCACAATGCCCCCTTAACTTTCGTCTGCGCATGCCTGTGAAGCACAAGCCCTGGGTATCATCGTAAATGCATTCGTAAAAATGAAAAAAAAAAAGGCCTCATCGAGGCCGTGTTCAGAGTCGATGTCTGCCATCCCTGTCGCCTCACACCTCACAGCCCGTACCGCGTGACGCACTCCTCTCGGTGCACCTCGAGACAGTCCAGCGCGCACACCCTCGTGCCGCACTTCATGCAGCGGACGCGCCCCCAGTAGCCACACACCTCGCAGAACCGCCGCACGGGGTACTGCCTGTCCGCCTCGCTCCAGCCAGCCTGCGCCTCGGTGTACTTCAGCGGCGGATGCGCCAGGAGGCGCCGCAGCTCCTCGTCGTCCGGCAGGTCCGGCAGCACCGACGCGAGCAGCGGGTCGCTGTCCCCGGGGTGCGCGGGCGGCGGGTCCTTCTCGTAGGGCGTCAGGATGGGCGGCGCCGTCGGCACCTCGGTTGGCGCGTCCTCCATCTCGACGTCGGGCGTCTCGGGCGCGGGCTCCGGTTCCGGCGCGGGCTCAACCTTCCCACGGCGTGATCGGGAGCGGCTGGGTGCCGACCTTTTCGACGAGGAGCTCGCGTCTGCTTCTGCTTCCGCAGCCGCGACGGCGGCGGCGGCGGCGGCGGCGGCGGCTGCCTTTCGCTTCGAGTGCTGGTTCGGTTGCGGGGGTCGTTTGCCGGTCTGGCTTGCTTGAGCCGTCTTCTTCGCGTTCGGGCCAGGCTGCTGTGCTGGGTTTCCGTCGTTCTGCGCCAGGAAGGCTTCGTAGTCATCGAGGTGGTTTGCGAACGTCTTTTGCGATTGCAGTATCCTCCTCACGTTGGGTGTGCTCTTGTTCAAGGCTACGTGAAACGTTGTCAGCATTGGTCTGTCGGATCGCACAGAGTCGGGATGAGTACTGACATTTGGCGCCGCCGGCCTTGGGAGGGATCGGTATGCCGGCATCGCGATTGCTTTCCCTGTCGAGGGCCTCGACTTCTTTGCGAATCTTGGCCTCTTGTCGGACGGAGAGATCGGCACCCGAGGGATTCGCGGCTTGGTTCCTGGCTCGCTTGCGATTTGATGGCTGGAGCGCGGCTGCTGCTGGGTTGACGCCCGTGTCAGGTACATAGGCCCAGCCGGGAGCCGATTTTGTTTTCGCGCCGGCGACCTCAATGACGCCGAAATTGTTGCTGTACATGACTGGTGGTCGGTATGGAGGAGGTAGTCCAGCAGATGAAGAAGGACTGGGGGGCATCGTGAGGACCATGCACTTACAGAGGAAGAGGAACCTCTTCCCACCCAATCGGATCCGCTCAATTCCAACAGCTATCTAAGCACATATCCACCCGCTGTACCTCGTTACAAACAACCGGAATCCAACGACCTGGCCCAACGTCCCGAACCGCGACCTCATCCAGTTTCCGAACCACGAAGAACGAGCCATCCTCTCCAACGAACCAACGCCCTACCTCGCCCCCGACAGCTCCCCCCCCCCCCCCCTTTTAGCATTACAATGTCTTCGAAAATCCTCGCCGCCAGCGCCCGCGCTGTGCCCCGTGCCGTCCCCGCCGTGCGCGCCGCCCGCACCTTCCAGACATCCGCCACCCTCCGCGACGCTGTCGCAACACCTCTGCCAGCACGGAAACCCGTAGGCGCCTTTCGAGGCGGGTACGTTCTCTCCACCAGCCTCGCCTCCATGTCCCTCCTCGTCGCCGCCCCCCCTTGGGTATGAACGCAAGCTGACCGTGGTGCTCTCCCTCGCGCGCAGCCTCCTCGGCTTCTTCGCCGGCAGCTCCCTCGCCGGCGCCGGCGTCTACTCCTACCTCGTCAAGGAGTACAAGCTCTCCAACGAGCTCCTCACCGAGGACATTTACGTGCGTGTCTGCATCTGATACCGTCCCCACTCCTCTCTTCATCCTCTCTGCCCCCCAGAGCCTCCAAACCCCTTTGCAGCGGCGCCGACGGAGGGAGGGGAGGCGGATGCCCTTCTTACCAGTGGAATCCCACCCTGAGCTCGAGCGCCGCCTTTCCCCCGTTCCTGTCTTGCAGGGCGTTTTCCCTTCGTGCCCATTCACATACGACTTGTACGCTGAGGACCATGACGCTGACCTGTTTGTTTCCTCGATACAGGCTCTGCAAGCGGCTGTCCAGCGTGTGACCGTCTACGTCCAGACGCTGGAGGAGAAGATGGATGCGCTCGAGCGCAAGAGGAAATAAAGCGGGCGAGGCACGCGGCAAAACGACGAAAACGGGCTGGGGCCTACTTTTTTTGGGGGGGAATGGGCTGGCTGGGGCTTGTATATAGCCTAAGAGTACGACGTGGGAGGGCAGACCCAGCAGGATGGGAATAGGACCATGTGTGACGCACGTCTGAAGCCCAACGGCAAGACACACGTTCTCGTTGAAGGCTTGCAGAGAGGCAGACGGGGCTGGGTGACCATCTTGTGTAAACAAAGTTGTACGAAAGTGCGAGCGGAAGCATCAACTACATGGAAACACCCCACACCTCCTCACCCGGTGAACAGGTACGAGATGAAGACTTGAAAAAGGCCGGTCTATTCGTATTAATCCGTAAAGTATCCGTCACACAGCCCGACGCCGTCACAATCAATCACAAAAGGCAGCAAAGTGACAACGTCCTTGATTCATGATTCGCATTACCTCATCTGAATGCATCGTGAACTAACTGAAGAACATGGAGGTATCAAAAGTCCTATCCGGGACATGCCCCCCTCCTTTCACGCAAAACCCAAGTTTATCCCAGTAAATCGTTTACAGCTCATCGTGAGACTCGTCAGACTCCTTAGCGGCCTCGCCCTCGGTGGCGGCGGGCGCGGCCTGGCTCTCCTCGGCAACAACCTCCTCCTTCTTGGAGGCCTCGGCCTTGTACTTGCCGTTGTCACGGACAAACTCGACGAGATCCTCAATGGTGCGGGAGCCCGAGTAGGTGACAGGCTCAGACTTGCCGCCGGCGGGGTACAGCTTGATGGTGGGGAAGCCCTGGATCTCATCGGGAACGTCGTTCAGGGTGGCATCAACCTTGGCAATGACAACCTTGTCCTTGAACTCGCTCTCACCGTAAAGGGTGGCGAGCTCCTCGTACTTGGGGGCCAGAGCCTTGCAGTGACCGCACCAGGGGGCGTAGAACTCAATGAGAACGTCCTTGGTGTCGTCGAGGACAATCTGCTCGTAGTTCTTGGCCACAACAACGGTGACGGGGCCCTCCTGCGTCTCGGGGATGGGCTCAGACTTGATGCTGGGCTCGATCTTGCCAGCGACGAAGTCATCGACGAAAGAGGTAATCGCCTCGACGGTGATCTTCTTCTCCTGGTCGAAGGGGAACTTCTGGTTCTTGACCGTCTCCTGGATGGCGAAGGCGGGGAACTTGTCAGCCTGGAGGTTCAGGTTGCCGGCGTGAGCACCGAAAGACTTGGCGTCAATGGTGGCGAAGTTGATGACACCACGCTGCTTCTCGGCGATGGGCTTGAGAGCCTTGGACAGCTCCTCACGCTCCTCGGCCGTCTCGGCGAAGATGTAGGCCAGGGGAAGGCCGGCCTCCATGTAGCCGGAGTAGGTGTCGGGGCCGACCTCGCCAATGAGGGGAGTGGCGGAGGTCTTGGCGAACTTCTCGATAGCCTCGACCTCGAACTTGTCGGAGAAGGTGGTCTTGCCCTCGTCGAAAGACTTGTAGAGGACAACGGCAGGGGCCTTAACGCCCTCAGCCTCGGCAACGGCGGCATCGTTGACACCGCCGAAGAGGTAGTTGTCGCGGAGGCTCTCGGCGACCTTGTTGAAGGTCTCGTTGGAGGCCTTGTCATCAGCGGCAATGTACGCGACGAGGACGACCTTGTCGGCAGTCTTGAACTCCTCAAGGGTGTCCTTGGTGAGGAGAGAGACAGCAGGCAGAGACTGCTTGATCATGTAGGAGGTGATGGCAGCGGCCTTGCGCTGGCCAGAGTAGGGGGAGATGTTGTCGGGGCCACGGAAGACCTTGAGGGTGGGGTAGCCCTCGACGCCGTAGGTCTGGCAGAGGTCGGCCTCCTCAGTGCAGTCAATCTTGGCGAGCTTGATGTTCTTCTCCTTCAGGGATGTGGCAGCCTCCTCGTACTCGGGGGCGAGGGCCTTGCAGTGGCCGCACCAGGGAGCAAAGACTGGAGGGCGTGATTAGCGGGGTTCAGGGGCATGCAAGATGGAGCAAAGAAACACTCACACTCAGCAAGGACGAGGTCGTTGGTCTTGACAAAGTCATCGAAGGTGTCCTTCTTGAGCTGAGTGACGTCCGAATCGTCAGCGGCGGCGACAGCCGCGGCGGCGGCCAGCAGGCCAAAGGCAACACGCTTGCAGTGCATTTTGACCCTGCGAGAAGGACCGAGTTAGCGGGTGCTGACCTTCGGTAGATTGATCGGCCAAGGCAAGCAAGGCTGTAGCGAGTGGGCTCACTGCATTGAGCTCGTGCGAGAGGTCAAACAGCGAGTATCCTGCCAGAGGGCGGGGAGGGGTACTGTACCTTTAATGTGATGTACGATGAGGGATGGGGAAGGAGAAGAGGCACGATAGGAAGCAAGCTTGGAGCAAGTAAGGTTCCTAAGGTGATGAGTGGGTTTAAGTAGGAAGTGGAGGGCGGCGGTGGAGGTTAAGAAGGAAGCTGTAGTTCTTAAGCTGCGTCCCTCTGTTGATTGTGAACAGGTGTCCCTTTTTCTGGACCCCCCCTTCTAGGAAGGGACCTGCCCAGGTTCCTCGGTCAAGTCAAATAGGTGCACGCAGGCCAGACATTTACTAACAAGGCAGGCGCGGGTGCCACTAGCCTGTGGAGGAGGGGGGGGTGCTTCTGCCCATTGTAGCAAAAGGTACAGCGCCTCCATGGCCAACCTACATGTACCTTGTAGGTTCTTGCCACGGCATGTCCCTGAACTTAACGGCGGCCATGGCCCCCACCTCAACTGGATCAGAAAGGCGGGCACAAAGCGGCGTGTGGGCTGTGAATGGACGCGGAGGGGCAACGGCCTCCACACTGCACCCCTCCCCAACCCCCCAGTTGGAGAAATGAACCCCAGCGCTGGCTCACGTCAAAAGGTAGAGAAACTGCCAATTGATAAGCAAGCGGTTGGAAGAGAAGAAAAAAAATCCTCCGCAATTAAACGTTTGGCACGTTACTAACCGGACGTTAAACGGGAGCCATTGACACCAGGTCCTCTCTTGTCCGCACGCACACCGCTTATCAACCATATTCCTACCGCCCCTCAGCCTTCGATGGGTAAGACTCGAACAAAAAGGGTGGCGGTCGACCCTGAGCAGCCCACTCACTGCATGCGTCCGCCGGTACTGGTACAGTAGATCTCCTACCAGGGTTGCAGCCAGAGGAAAGGACACATTTCCCCATCTCGCCAGTGACGGCGGGGGCGCGGCTGAGGAACGCCGCATCCCAAATCGTTCTGCCACCTGCCCAGCCCAGGCCAAGGACAGGACATCCCTGTGCTCCGCCATTCCCTAGCGCCGCTGTGGAGGCGAGCATCTTGTCAGGGGTTTATCAGGGAGGGTACGTACGTACCCTCGACAGTTGGACCCCCTCCTTCGTGCTGACGGGCGGCGTGGCCTGGATCTCAGAAGGTGATGAGACGAGTACAGTTGCGAGGCGACTCTGGTCTGGTCTGGCGCGCTCCGAGCTCCCATGTTTCAATTTCAGCGGGACTTGCTGCTTCAAGACAAGAAGTGGCGACTTGTCCATGCCTGCGGACTGTAACCCCCCGAAATTGCCATCCGCCATCCGGCCGGGGCGGCAAGCGTCGTCCGCCTCGACCGAAGACATTGCTGGGAACTATTGATTACGACAGCTGAATCATGCTCATGCGATACGTCAGATCGCTGAGGCCACATATCTTCCGGTTCGGTGGTCAGAACACCTCTGGTCCTCTTGGCCTGGGTAAGGTACCTAGCCCATGTGCATGTCCTAGCTATGTGCCCACCTAGATTCGTAATCATTATTGCTATTCGGCAAGAACTTTCCAGTATCAAGGGATCAACGAGGGCGGCTGGATCGGTGTATGCAGGAGATTGTTTTGCCTTGTAAGATGTACAAAGCGAACCTGGGGTCGGTTCAGGTCATCGGACAATCCGACCTTGTCCTCACCCGTTTCTACTTTGCCTTTGCCAACGAGAGTCAAAACGTGATTGCACTGGCATGGAACTATGTTTTCACTCGTCAATTAGAATGGTGCGGCATGACCTTGATGGAGCGGAGGGTCATCACGATGTTTCCTTCGATTGTCGTTGTTGAACGCCCTCTACGGCACCCGCAGATCACACAACTTGATCGAACCCACAGAGATTCTCGAGCTGTCCAAAACGTGGCTGACGAGGGGTGGCGTCTTGTAAGAGATGTTTAGCACTCATGATATCAAACTCAGATGTGTGAAATGTGATGCTTCAACATCGGTTGGTGAGTGTACCTCGGCTAAGGTACCTACGAGAAACGGTGCACGAACTAGGAGGATGCTCATGTTGACTGTAGATGCGCTTAGGGATGCCCTTCACTCGGAAGTAAGTTGGCGTTTGGTTTGATGGCCAGCACATGCCACAAGATGCTTCCTTCATGCGAGACAAGTAAGGCAAGAGCTTCCCGAAAGGACCTGCCTTCGAGATGGACTTGGCACCAAGGTAAACACCATCTCCCGATCCTCCCACACAGCAGGAGCCATGGCAGGTCCCCTCCTCCTCATGGAATCTATCAGAAACGGTAGTGACGAGCACCTGTACTACGCCTTCCAAAATAAAGCTTCGTGTGCCCAGAAACGAACTCTACATTTACAGGCTCGACACAGCATCTCTGGTCGATCTCTGACCTTCTTCCTCTGTCGTCTCGAAGGCCCCATTACACCATCGATCTGCTGCTTTGGATTCCCACTACGGCTTGTGCCGTTGACGAGCACGAAGTCGAGCATTCTCTTCTTTTCTTATTTCTTTACTCGCCAAGCATATCTCATTAAGCCAATCTTGGTTTCAACCCGTGGTCTTCAACGAGGTTCGAGAAGATACCCAACGACAACAGTCGCACCTTCACATACGGAAACAGTAAGCCAGTGTCGTCCAATGCCCATGCAATTCAGTCAGGATGGACATGTCTGCGGCTTCGACGAAGCGATCTGCGAGTCAAGGATCTCTCAACAATACTTTCAAGCAACAAGGACGGGCACTCCCGAGGAATCCCACCGCACATCGTC